AAGTTGGTCTGGAGGCTGCAGAACACAGCTGCTAGATGGGTAAGTAGGACAGCCTGGTGGAACCGGTCCTTTCACTGCATTGGCTGCCAGTGAGCTACCAGGCCCTATATACACCATAATATAAAGCGCTAAATGGCTTGCGACCCAAGTAGCTAAAAAAAGAGGAGGGTAAAGGCTTCCCTAGTATTAACCATCTTGGACCCTACAATCTGCAGGTGATGCATTGTTGGTGGTGCTACCAAAAGGGGCTGGCGTTGCATCCATTCAAGGATGTTTCCAGTATTGGTTCCCCACTCATATAATGCCCTTTCTCGTAAACTGGATCTGTCCCCATCATTACTAACTTTCAGGAGGAATTTGAAAAACTGAAATAAGAGAAATATGGGGAGGGGGAGCTTGACAGAAGACTGAGTAGCAGGAGCTCCTCCTACACCTCCCAATAATCTCATGCATGCATAACACAACCACCACACTGCTTTCCCTCCATCCAAGCTCACTTTCAATTTTATAAACCCTACTGGGGGGGAGAGAACTACCTGGGGAGAATTGGCAGCTGCATTAATGGTTAAGAACCCCTGCCTACCAGTAGAGGCACCTGCCTCCAGCCAGCCCTCAATTGCTTGCCTTCTTTCGGTGCCACTGGCTGTCAGCTGCCTCCTCCTTAGTCCCACTAGGCTTAGTCTTGGATTAAATTTTACAACTTGTAGGAAGGAGGGTGGGGATGAAACTAGAAGAGGTTGGTGCTGCCTGTCATTGTCTCTGACCACCCACCCACCAGCTGTTGTCCTCTTTCCCTTCTGCCTTACCAATCCCAAAGGTACCAGCCACCACTGCCTTCTGCTAAGGTGGCCAGTTACCAGTTGCCAAAAAAAGAGGGCCAATTTGCATATGCTGATCGGTGCAAATTTGGAAATTATTGCTATACTTTAAACAGAAATGCAATGCAGCTCACCAGAGTGGATGGCTGCAACCAGGTGACCTGTATGCCTGCCGTGCAGGTGTGAACATTTGATGGGCAACTTCCATGACTCTGCGTTCCACTCATATGGTTCTTTTACTTTAAACTGGGCTTGGACTGGACAACTGAACAAACAGAGAATGCTTTCAAACAGAGGACTGTGCTCTGTAGACATACACCTTTCCTCCTGCCTGCTGACTTTCCTGTGAATGCTTCCTTAAATCTCACATTAGCATTATGAGGCAAAAATTAAGTTGGAGAAACAGTACCGCTGACTGTTTCACTGGTTTGGTGTTACTTAATCTGCATCTGAGGGAGAACTGGATGAAAAGGGGCAGGGTGGCAAGGTTTCTTTTCCTGGTTCGCATCCCCATATTTTCATAGATGATCAGAAGAATATTCCTTTCGCAAAGATCAAGTCATTGGCTCCACCCCTGGTGCATTTCAATTGCAGGAAAGTGACTAATAATGGAGGCCATTTAAGGTTTCTTTGTTGTGCCCCCCCCCCCCCGCACGACCGTACATTACAGTTTGTTTCGGGTGCCACATATTTGCAAAGTGCATAGCTCTCCTAAAACACTTCCATCTAATAAACACAACAATTAGAACACAAAACATGCTGCTGCTGCTTGAGATACGAAAATGTATCAAATGTATCGCTGCCTCTTAACCACAAGCTTTAGGAGATAACCTGCAAAGCTTACATCCGAAACAACAGCACTGCAGCAGATGGAATGGAAGCTAAAGGTCAATCATAATCTTAAAAAAAATAAAAAATCCCATAAAATATTGATCAGATTCACGCTACAGAAATAGGACAAACCTTCCCCAATTTGGTGCCCTCCATCACCCAGCTGGGAATAATGGCTCCTAAAGGGCACTAGGTTGGGGAAGGGTGTATGAGGATTACTACACATAATAGAATTGTGGAATTGGAAGGGACAAGGGCCATCAACTTTAACCTCCTGCAATCCAGGAATCTTTTGCTCAACGTGGGGCTTGAAACCCTAAGAGACTGAGCTAGAGGGACCATGTAGCTTTTAAAGTGCAGTCAAACTACAGGTTATTCACCTGCAGCTTACTCCTGGGTAACTAAGCAAAGGCTTGCAATCATCCTGATCCTAATGAATTAGGTATTTGCTATCTAGTGTTGCTCTTTCATCTGTGTTCATGCCTGTCAGTCTGTATACAGTGGTACCTCGGGTTACATATGCTTCAGGTTACATACGCTTCAGGTTACAGACTCCGCTAACCCAGAAATAGTGCTTCAGGTTAAGAACATTGCTTCAGGATAAGAACGGAAATCGTGCTCCGGTGGTGCGGCAGCAGGAGGAGGCCCCATTAGCTAAAGTGGTGCTTCAGGTTAAGAACAGTTTCAGGTTAAGTACGGACCTCCGGAACGAATTAAGTACTTAACCCGAGGTACCACTGTATACATCATGCAGCTGCCTGCATTTCTGAACTCTCCTTGAGGGCCTGCACTTCAAAAATATAAATTTATTCTTCACCTTACAAAAATAAAGTTTACAAATATTTTAAAAGCAGTTGCAAGACTGTTCTAGAGGTTGTGTGTCTATATATTGGTGACAACATAGGCACTGGTCAATAGGTGCCCATCAGTGTCTAGCTTCAAACTGAAGTAAGCTGAAAACCGGCAAATTCTGCCCCCCCCCCCCAATAACCACACATCCTTTTGGACAGAAACGTGCACATTTGTTTAAAAGGCACTGACAGCACTTTCAACCACTTTTGCCACTTAAAAAAGGCTGTGATTGTCTTCATCTTTAGACAGGACAAAGGAAATCTTTAGGCACTGAGTAAAAGCTGTTGTCCTCACCTCCTCATGTAATATCTCTGGCTTCAAGAGGGATAGGGAGTCTCAAGGTGAGTTCCTGGCACAGAGGCCTTACTTTTAACGACTTGGGCATTGCCAGTATTAGCTTCTTCTTTTCAGAAAAGTGGGTCCATGCTGATTTGAGGCACCTATAATGCACATCTGACTGACTGAATTCCCTGTTTACATATGGTGCACATGCTAAGGGTCAGTAAACACATGCACACACAAAATACTTTCTATAGTCTTGGTGTTAAGCGCACTTCTTTACACTCACCTAATGTTCTAAACTGCAGTACTGAAGTTGGACTGTTGAAGAACACGGGATGCATACATAGAAGTAAAAAGTGTACTGTACATTAATACCCAGAATGGGTCTGAGTATAACAAGCACAGAGCAGGAGCAGCAGACTTGTACAGACTACATAAAACCAGGAACTGAAGTGGTGCCCAAACCCTTTGCACTGTAACTGACAAGGCAAACTTAGCTCCACATGTGCTTAGAAGTGACTTTTAAGTTTTATTGCGGCTGGTCCACAATACAGCCGCTAGGGTTGTGACTGGTGCTGATGCTTGGGAGCCAGTGGTACCCATCTTACATCACCTTATCTGGTTTTTGTTCACTTTTGGCTATGTTTCCATTGCTGCTTTGTACTTGAAAATCCTTCCCTGCCTTAGGACCAGCATGACACCTAATGGACCATCTATTTCCATGTGAGCCTGTTAATCTATTAAAGTGTTGCCAACCTTTGAGGGCTTGTGGGTACATTTGCCAACTGGAGAAACCGCTGTGTGCAACACACACACAGCAACCAAGCACAAACCACAACCTAATCTACTGGCTACCATAGAATGCTTTTGAGCCTAATTTTGGCAGGGAAATGGAACCCTGTGGACTCCAGGGAAGACCTCTGCAGATGCAGGTGGGATGGGTGAATCTGTCAATTTTTGTTTCTCCCAGTTTCTCTTTTTTCCATGCGTAAGTTCAGTTCTCTACATTTCCACATTTAGTTGAATAGTGTCCCAAATTACAAGGAAACTCTGTGGCTGGCTGCAAATTTGATTTTACCTTTATTATTTTATTTGTTTGATTGTTTATCACCAATATGCCAGAACCTCATGGTGACATACAATAACAAATGACTAAACTATCCAATACACTTCCTCTAAGAATCTAATGTGTTTGTTTGTGTTTGTGTGTTTTAAAAAGCTGCCTGGGTGGCTCAGGCAATGATGGATTCCTGGCAGGTGTTATCAGCTGCACATGCCATAGCATTTACCTGATCTTATTGTGCAGTAGCACCAAGCCTGCCCAGCCCTATGCGTGTTTACTTGGAAATAAGCCACATATAGCTCTCTGGGACTTACTCTTAGGTAGGTGTTGCAGCCACAGGGTAGTAAATCCAACACTTAAGTGTAGTGAATCAAAAGTTAGTTCAACTGATGTAAATAGGACTGTGTGGTTCTGGCAACCAACGGGATCACAAAGGCTGCTGGACACTCACTTCTTGCCTCCAACCAACTGGTCACAGATAGCCATCAAAACCAAGGTTTATATATGTTCCATGGCACCATCAATGATCCAAAATGGAATTTTATTGCCTGCAACATTGCATGACTCCCAGGCCCCAGGTGGGGACCCAGCATGTGCAATGATCTTAAATGTTTGTGTTGATCAGAGCAAAATATGAAGTAGTGGGGGAAAGAGAAAATGGCTTATTAATCTAAGGTCATTTACCTAATCTTCATACTTTGCACTTATGCTGAGTGTTTCAGGTGTGGTACATGCTTCACAAACATTATTTCAGCCATGTTGGTAACAGCCTTCCAAGGAAATAGAGTGGTATCTTGGGTTAAGTACTTAATTCGTTCCAGAGGTCCGTTCTTAACCTGAAGCACCACTTTAGCTAATGGGGTCTCCTGCTGCTGCCGTGCCGCCAGAGCACGATTTCTGTTCTCATCCTGAAGCAAAGTTCTTAACCTGAGGTACTATTTCTGGGTTAGTGGAGTCTGTAACCTGAAGCGTCTGTAACCTGAAGCGTATGTAACCTGAGGTACCACTGTATCATCCTTACATTGAAGCTTGGTTGGGGTGGGGATCCAGCAAGGCCTCCTGGGCATTGTTTGAACTGGTGTCTCTCCTTAACTGTGCTACATTAACTGCATACAGAACAGTCGAGGGTCCCAACTAACAGAAGTGAACAAAGCTTCTGAGTTCATCAAAAATCTTTTATCAGCCCTGCCCAATGACAAAAACCACAAACCAAACAAGAAGTGGGTGGAGATAAGAGATAAAGATGTTGCAAGGTGGAGAAGTTTGCAATTGTCTGGCAGTGCAATCCTCTTATGCGTGTCTATGTTGTAAACGGCTTTTGGATGCCCCACGGGAAGTGATTCATAAATGATTAGGATGATAATAATACTCAGAAATGCCTCCTTAATTTTAAATGGAGTTCACTCAGGTTAAGAATGTACAGGATTGCAGTCTTAAAATATTAAGGCAGAGGTTAGGCTATATGTAATCTTAACATACGGTATACTAATCTGTAACCCATCTGTTATAAAAGGGGGGGGGGAAGTGTGCAGGTACAAAGGGCGGGCACGAATCTTTAGCAAGCCCTAGCCAGAAGTGGGAGCTGCATCACCGGAGCACACATCTCCCCAACAGAGACTCCCCCATAAAGAAGTGGGGTGTTTTCTCTGCTCTTGCAGCAAGTCTGCCTTGCACCTGCACTCCCACCCATGTATATACTGTATGGGGATGAGATTGCACGCCACCAGTACTCAGTCAGGGCCAACACTAATGATAAAATCCAAATTATCAGAAAAGCCGTAAAACTGTGACTATTGATCACTTCCATCCCTGCAGCAATCAATGGAAGGATCAACAGCAGTTTATACTCTGCTTCGAATAAAGTTTTTCGATGAGTTTCCCAACCACCATCAAAAAATCAGATCCGTAGCTGGGGGGGGGGGGGGAGGGCTAGCTGGGGGTTTTTGCCCAGTGAAGCCTCCAAAGGGATGTCATTGAGGCCCCCAGCCTGTGTGTGTGTGTGTGTGTGTGTGTACGCAAATGTGTGTGTGTGTGCCAAACTGGGTCTTAGATCTGGGTGAAATAGAGCCTAGTTTTGCGCCTGCAAAAATAAAGACACCCTCCCCCCAATCTTTCGGAAGTGAATTGTGGCAAACTCCTTAAATTCAGGGAAACCAAAGAAGCAATGAATGAAAGTCCCAAAACGGTGACTATGTCTTTTGACACCCCCACCTCAGCCTTCAAAGGCAGCTTTGCAAGACACTGACTCTAAATCAGCTGGAGGTCGTCGTCCCCCTCTTTGCTTTTTTAAGACTGCAATCCTATGCGTGTCTACTCGGAAGTAAACGGCATTGCATTTCATGGGAGTTTAATTCTAGGTACGGTAACTGGGCTCAGGGTTGCAGCCGGAGGAAAATTCCCGTTGGGAGACAGAAATAAAATTCCAAAACAACTTGAGCTGCATTTGCCGCATATTAAAACAAAAAACAAAAATCACATCCATCGACCCCTTCCAGGATTTTAATCTGCGGCGAGAAGAGGGGCTCGTTAACACAACGGAAGGCATCTCCGCGAGGCAAGAAGAAAAAGAGAGGAGGAAAATAATAATTTAAAAAATCTTGCTTTCTCCTAGTTCCGAACGTGTCCAACTCGAATGCATGTCACAGGCACTTAATGAACAACTTAACGAAAAAAATGTAATCGATGTATCTCCGAAATCCCAGACGTGGAAGGCCGGCGGGGCCGTCGGGCGGGCAGAAGGAGGCAAAGGCGTTTTGTGTCCCTCACGGCGGGTCGGTTGCCCTCCGTTGCCAACCCCGTTTTCGCTCCTGGAGCGCGGGACCCCCCTCGGGGCGACCCCTTGCCTGCCTCCCCGCCCGCCCCCTCCACCCGCCCCGGCGTCTCCTTGGAAAGGGGCAGCTCCGTCGGGCCACGCGCGCCGCCGCCCCCTCGGGGAGTTGCAGCTCCTTGTGGTGGGGAGGGGGGGAAGGCCCTATGGGAAAGCGGGTCCTCAGCTGCCCGCCCCCGCGAGGCCCCTCTCCGCGCCCGTGGCCAGGCTGGTGACGGGGAGGACGAGGGGCTGCTGCTGGAGGCGCATGGACTCCTCGTACGTGGGCAAATACTTCACCTCCTCGTAGCTGGGCAGCTGCAAGAAGACGGGCGACACGACGGGCAGGAGGGGGGGCGGAGGGGCGGCGGCGGCGCCTGGCTGCTCCGGCCGCTGTCGAGCAGCGAGTCCTGCGACGTGGCGGCCGTGGCGTTGAGCGGGGTGGCTCCCCGGGCCAGCGAGTCCCCGTCGCCCTCGTCGCCGTCGCAATCGTCGTCGTCGTCGTCCTCGTCGCGGCGGCGTCGTCCCGGGCGCCGACGGCTGTTCCTGCGCGGACTCGGGCAGATGACGCGCTGCAGGAAGTAGCCGATGGCGAAGAGCACCAGCAAGATGAGCAGCCCCGAGAGCTTCCTCACGAACCAGCCCACGTTGTCCAGGAACGTGTGAAAGGGCAGCCGGCAGCACTTGACCTCCGGGTAGGTGGCGTTGCCGTAGCTGCAGCAGCTCTCCTGCTCGCCGCACTTCAGCTCGGCGCAGCTGCCCTGGCAGGGCGGCGGGCACAGCAAAGCCGCCCCCAGCGCCAGCAGCCCCGGGGGGAGGCCGGCCCCCATCCTCCTCCTGACCCCCTCTCGCCCTCCTTCCTCCGTCGGGCACCGGATCACTCGAGGGGAGGAGGAGGAGGGGACGGGGACCTCGCTGGCCCCTCCACCCTCGCCCCGTCCAGCATGCGCTCTGCAAACTCTGGCGACGGAGCGGGGCCAGGGGCGACTGGCGGCCGAGGGAGCTGCCGCCGAAGGAGCCTCTCTCCTAGGCTGCTGGAAGGCGGCCCCGCAGAGCCGCGGGATGGATCTCCCTTTAGCCCATTGGACCAGCTGCGGAGTGCGGAGATGCCGTGCAAGATCCTGCTTTTTGCAAAAGCTGCCCGCGCGGCTGGGTCCTGCAGGCGAGAGGCGGGAAAATCTGGCACCGGCTGTGTGCTGGTGTGTGTGTGTGTTTGGTTGCGCGCGCGGGGCGCCAAAGCGAGAGGGCGAGCCGGGAAGGGGTTAATGGGTCCGAGGGATCGGCTGGCTTTTTTTCTTTTTTGCAGCGCTTCGATCTTCATTAACATAGCTGCCTGTCGCCTTCTCCTTTGGAGTAGCGGCGCGCACCCCTCTGCTCCCCCATTGCTGCTCGAGTTCCTGCGCTTAAGTGATTGGATTCCCCTATTGGCGTTATTTAAATTTACTTGCTGCTGGGAGCTGCTGCTTACCATATTTCTGGTCTTATTTCTGATTAAAAATTGATGATAACCATTTGGCGGATGTTAATGGGCTTAATGCAGCTCCTCTTCCATTAGGGAGTGGGGAGGCTGCGATTTTCCTGGCCGGGTGCCTCCCTTACGCTTCCCAGCCAGGGAGAAAGGTCGGTGTCTTCCTTTCCCTGGAGAAGGTGGAGGAGGACCCAGAAAGGCTGTCTAGCAAGGAGGGTGTTAAACGTCTTGAGACATGTGGGCAGAATTACCTTTCCATAGAATTGCATAGTTGGGAGGGACCCCGAGGGTGATGTAAGAAGCTCAGCTCTGACTGATGGCCTTTCAACCTCTGCTTAAAAACCTCCAAGGAAGGAGAGTCCATTCCACTGTCAAAACAGCTTTTGCTGTCAGAAAGTTCTTCCTGGTGTTTCCTTTTGGTCACATACCAGTGGCCATGATATTCACAAAAATAAGTAATGCCTTGCTGAACGCTTTTATTGTGGAAACGAAACTTTTTTTAAAAAAAAGACAGAAACAGATAACCACAGGACAGGTCCCTTCCTGGAGAAGTGTACAATCAGAATTTATTTCCAGAAGGGTAGCCATGTCCATCTGTTGCAGGAAAAAACAAGAAGGAGCCTTGTACCAGCACCTTGAAGTTAGAGAAGTTTATTTTATTGCATTTTTTCATGCATTTGACACCCATCTTTCTACAATAAAATCAAACACAGGCTTACAAAACAGAAATATAAGTAACACCATTAAACACAGCCCAAGCAATCACAGGCAGGGGTAGAATGGGGATGGATGAATTCAGAGAGGAGGAAATTTCCTCCCTTTCCATCACAGATTCTTGCTTACTTTTAACTTATTAGGCCTTATAGTTGTCTCTTAGTAGCAAAAGAACCGATGGGCAAACTTTAATGAGTGCACAAGCCCTTAAAATGTTTGCATTCTGCATCAGTCCTCACAAGATCCCCAGGGTGAGTTAAATGGCATTTCAGGCAAAAAACCCCAAAACAGTAATAACCTTGAATGTAAGGGGATATTTGTAAGAAAAAATCAATGCACTTTGCCAATCGCTTGTTGTAGCACAATCACAACAGCAAACTGAGATAAGCACAAATTTATGGCAGCCACAAAAGACTGAACAAAAATCAACCAATGTAGAAATCACCTCCCAGTTATTAGCAGCGGAGGTGATCTGGATTTTATTTACTTCCGTGTTGCGTTTTGTCTTGGAAAATGCTGATGAGCATTCAGATGGTTACTGCATCCAAGCTTCCTGTACTCTTTGTAAGGCAAAGTTTAGAAGAACTGACCTGTGTTCACCAGGGGAAAAGAATCTGCACAAATCTCTGGGTCCACTTTATTCATTACCTTTTATCGTTATTATTCATTATCGAAGGAGCACAGGCTCATTCAATGTATTATTTCATGCACCCCATGAAGACTTGGTTTTTTTAATAAAGCCTTTGGCTCATTAAATAACTTTTGTACTAGCTTAGGTTGTGTTTATTTTCATGGTGACCAGATTTGTTAATCTGTTTTTCATTGTATTGGGTTTAGTTTGGAATAATACTACTTATTAATCTGTTAGCTTCCTTGAATTTCTTTGGGAAATAAGACAGGCAAGTAGCTTTTTTTTTTTTAAGCTCAGGGTGATGTATAGGGTCCCCCGGCCCATTTTATATCCCAACAACAACCCTGTGAGGTAGGCCAGCTGACTGACATAGTGAGCTGCATGGGGGAGAAAACATTTAAACCCAGTTCTTTCCACTTCTAGTCTGACACTATAATTACATGCACCCGACACCTTAAGATAGCCACAAACTGAAGATTTTGGGGCTTTAATATCATACCCTACTGTTTTCCTTGCTTGTTTTCGCTAGCATCTAGCTTAAAGGAGAGTTTTGGAGAATGCAAAAAACTTCTCGTGGCTTTGTGGCATTTTGTTTGGTCCTTATAAAGATAATATCCCACTGCTGTGTTTGGATTCCACCCTGCACTGTATGGCAATGATTTCTTATTAAACCAAACTGATTCTCAAATCTGGTTCTTGGCCAGCACAGCTTTGACATTAGGACAGAAGAATTCAGAACCACTGAAACATTCTGCCCTGTCCCTGAAACCAGGGTGCTGAGTTTCTTACAGTGCCATCTTATACATATCTGCCCAGAAATAGGTATGTTCAGGGAATTCAGCTTATTCCCAACTGACTCTGCATTGGATTGCAGATCTGTTTAACGGTCATGGTCTTCGGCTCATAGAATCTTAGAAACCAGTGCTCTAACTGATTCCACGTCCCCCACCCCAAAATTGGAATCAGTAGGACTAAGCATGTCCTGAACCTCTAAAACATACAGTGTGTTTGGGTGTCCCAGACCATAGTCTGTTCCGATTAAAATTTGGCAGAGACTGTCACTAGGCTGTGTGCCTCTAAGTGGTGAGAGAATAGCAAGCTTGTTGATGACTAAGCCCAACCCCAATCAGTCCGAACTCCTCCATTAACGGGGAAGAAAACCCTTTGAAGAAGGAGTGATTCTTTTGAAGTGCCTGACTAACAACAGAAAGCTTACACTTTGAAGATGTCCCCGGGTGTGAAGATAAAATTACAATGGGAGGAATCCAGTTAGCATAATTGCTCGTGCTGCCAATGCAAGTTGGAGTAGCACACGCTTTCTATGATTTAAGACAGGCTGAAATTGGTGGGACTTTCTTCTGAACAAACATGTACAGGACCAAGATGTTAAAACAACAGGGCTTCGGATATGTTCACATTACAGGTTACTCAGGCTCCAGCTCGCTTCCACTGCTGGTGTTTGAAGCTGAGTACGCATGATGTTAGCCACAATCCATCTGTATCCTGTAGTTTCTTGAGATAATGCGGTTTCCCTCAAACCAGCTTCCATCCAATTTGAAAACAGAAGCTGCAGTTTACAGGTGAAACTCGGAAAATTAGAATATCGTGAAAAAGTTCATTTATTTCAGTAATTCAACATAAAAGGTAAAACTAATATATGAGATAGACTCGTGACATGCAAAGCAAGATATGTCAAGCCTTTATTTGTTATAATTGTGAGGATCATGGTGTACAGCTGATGAAAACCCCAAATTTACAATCTCAGAAGATTAGAATATTAAATGAAATCAGCAAAACAAGGGCTGCAAATAGAGCAATATTGGACCTCTGAGAAGTAGAAGCAAGCATATGTACTCAGTACTTGGTTTGGGCCCCTTTTGCATCAATTACTGCCTCAGTGCGGTGTGGCATGGATGCTATCAGCCTGTGGCACTGCTGAGGTGTTATGGAAGGCCAGGATGCTTCAATAGCAACCTTTAGCTCTTCTGCATTGCTCAGACTCATGTCTCTCACCTTTCTCTTGGCAATGCCCCATAGATTCTCTATGTTGTTCAGGTCAGGTAAGTTTGCTGGCCAATCAAGCACAGTAATCCCACGGGCACTGAACCAGGTTTTGGTAATTTTGGCAGTGTGGGCAGGTGCCAAAGTCCTGCTGGAAAATGAAGTCAGCATCTCCATAAAGCTGGTCTGCAGAAGGAAGCATGAAGTGCTCCAAAATCTCCTGGTATATGGCTGCGTTGACCCTGGACTTAATGAAGAACAGTGGACCAACACCAGCTGAGGTGTGTGCATCAGCTGTTGCGCAAATGATATCATAGGAACATAAAAACATAAGAAGATGTTGCAGGATCAGGCCAGTGGCCCATCTAGTCCAGCATCCTCTTCTCACAACTAGATGCCTGCGGGAAACTTGCGAGCAGGTTCCAAGCATTTGTGTCCTCTTCCCCTCCTGTGGTCTCCTGGGAACGCAGGAAGCATTTCTGCCTCCTGCAGTGGAAGTAGAATATAGTAATCGGAATCGCTGATAACTGAATCCTCCATGAATTTGCCCGGTCCTCTTTTAAAGCCATCTAAGTTGGTAACCATCACTGCCTCCTGTGGAAGGAGTTCCATGTATAGCCATGTGCTGCTTGAAGAAGTAGTCGCACATGTGCAGACGACAACTTCAGTGGAAGTGGAGTTCTGCATGGGGAAACAAGTACGGTGGTGCCTCGCAAGACGAAATTAATTCGTTCCGCGAGTTTTTTCGTCTTGCGATTTTTTCGTCTTGCGAAGCACGGTTTCGGAAAAGTTTTGGAAAAGCTTCAAAAATCACCAAAGTCTTAAAAAACCTCAAAAAAGGCTACCACACCGCGTGCTATGAGTTGCTCCTCAAAGTCAAGTCACAACTGTATTAACGGTGTTAAGAAAAAGGAAACAAACTTGCAAGACGTTTCCGTCTTGCGAAGCAAGCCCATAGGGAAAATCGTCTTGCGAAGCAACTCAAAAAACCAAAAACCCTTTCGTCTTGCGAGTTTTCCGTCTTGCGAGGCATTCGTCTTGCGAGGTACCACTGTAATGGGAATTAGGTAATGGACACTGGGTGGAGATTTCCTAGCCCC